CCAAGTGTGTCGGAGCAGCTATGAAAATTGAATGCATTATCAATCGTCCTAGGAAATGAGTCAATTGATTTTATTCAACTAGTTATCAACTCAAAAAAACTCTATATTGAGAATTGATAACGCTTGCTAACCGCGAGCATAAATATATCGGCTTAATATCATTTTCTTCAATTACTAGAGAATTTGCTAACTCAAAAAACTTAAGGAACGTAAGTCGAAGAAGAAATCCAAACTACGACACATTCAAACTAAAGCAAAAATAACAACAAAACATCATTTGTAGTTTTTGCTGAGGATTGGGGGAGTAAAGACCGAAATTAGCTTCAAGAATTAAAAATCAATAGCTTCATCAATGTCCAAAAAAAAACGTATTTGGTTACTAATAGAAACTACCTGGACCTCCAGGTTACATCCACTTACCGGCTCAGAAAACTAGACAAAAATAAAAATAGGAAAGAAGATTATTCCGAACAACACAGGCATGGAAAGAGTATTGCCTATGGTGGAATTTTTCAATACAATTCAAAACACTATACAAAATCTTGAATTTGAATGCAGTATCACATTAAAGTCATTTTACGCGCAAATCAGATTCTCAAAAGATGATTTAGAAAATCTCCAGTGCCAGGAAAAAACAACTTAATTGCTACAGTCTATTTTACCGCTAAAGGAGTGGGTCATGAAAAGGCAGAAATCCTCGATGTACTTCTATCAATTTAAGAATTTTCATTTGAAAGCATATATAATAATTTCCATCATAAAGTTTATACGGAATAATTATTTATACTGTTTGAAATTATAGACTAAAAGTCTCTATTGGAAAGCTAAGATATAAGCTAGGCCCTCATATGATTTCTTCTAACTTAAAAAAATATAAACATTTCTCAGCTACGAAATATCCGTATACCTTCTAGTCTACCAATGATAAGCTTTAAACACAGAGGCGAAGCTGCGTTTCGCGAATACTTGCGAGAACACGACCAAAAAGCAGCTCTATCAAGTGAAATGAGAAAAAGTGGAAATAAGCCTCGAATTAGCAAAAACTCGGCTATAAGTAGGATTCAAATCTGCGACCTACTGCAATCAAGAGATTTTGAGTCTCACGCACTATCTACTCAGCCACGCAAACTTAACAACCGACAAACACTAGTCACAAATAAAGCAGCTACATATGCTAATAAGTTGCCAATGCGATTCATCAAAAAGGGCACCGAATACAAAAAGACTCAATTTTGCATGTAATAATTAGAAAAATAACAAACTGAAGGCATCCACACTAACTTTGCATGTAAAAAATCGCAAAGCATAAAGCCACATTATGTATAAATTATGCATTTCAAAAATTGCAATATATTGACTGAGAAAAGTTTCTGAAATCGAGTTTTCATTATTGTTTTGTGGTTTGAAACAAATATCTTTTTTCGTTTCATTTGATGGAATATTTGCGACTTAGGTTGGGTGAAAAAAGAAAAATCGGACTAATACACATTACTTCGCAAAAGTAAACAGAATACAACTTAACCACAAAATCTATCTTCAAAAAAAACATTTGTAGCAAACTACAAATGATGTTTTGAACAAGAAACAAAATAAAGCAACAAAATTTACTTAGCAAGAAAACTAGTTGGACCAAACTAACAACCCCCCCCCCCCCTCACAAAGCCATTGAAGGGGGGGGGTGTTAACTTGGTTATAATTTGGAATTTTTCAGCCAATCAGAATCGAGCATTTTACATGCAGCGCGTGGCAAATTTAATACGAATTGAATGTTGGGCTGGAAGATCTTAACTTGGTCTATTGGGGATGTGGAGTTTAAGGGGGTCAACTGTTTAGTCATGAGTCTAATTTGAAAGTATTTTGTTTTCGTTTCGCAGAACTTGTCTTGTAGAGGCCCATGTGAACATTCTTTCTCTCCAGATTCCCCTCACATCGACCAAGTAGATTATCTCCCCGACCAAATAAAAAAGGAATTTAACAACTTAACTAGCCTTTTTAACTGAATTTTTTATATCCTTCGAAAGGTATTGTTGTCCTGAGATCATAATTAAAAAGATAATTCACCTGCGATCATTTTTCTGATGATTTTTAGATAGCCAATTAACACGCGATATATTTGAAGTTGTTTTTGCAAAAATTACCTGAAATATAGCTGTAAAAAAACTCAATAGACGAGAATGTAATTTATGGCGAAACACCAAAACTCGCTGCAAGGGTTAAAAAATTGAAAAAACTGAAAACTATTCGAATTTTTTCTTCATTCTTTATCAAACAGGCAACCGCAAAATACGTTTTTAGTTCCAAAAATCGTTAATTTCTTCTAGTTGTCCCGTGAAGATCAAATTGAATACAAAGACTAAAAAAATTTTTAGGACACCCTTTTATTCTCTTTGAAAAGATGCTCTATTTATTTCTTACAGCAAACTATTGTTCTTGGTTCGTTTCTTTTTCTCTGCAGTCTCCTTTCCACTTGACCGCTTAGAGCTACTAAGCCCCTCCTGGCATTATTTTCTCTCCAGACAAGAAAGGCAAGAGCCAAAATTCTCATCTTTAACCATATTTTGACAACGCTATGAAAAGAAATCTGTCTTTCTCGTCCGTCTTCCAATGTCGCAAACAAATCAGACTCGGAAAAACTTCAGAAAATACTTGTTTGATGAAAATAAATTTAAAATGTCGATTTAATATCAGTCACTGGCATATTGACGGATTTTACTGTAAAGGAACCTATAAAAGAAACATATGTTACATTGTGGAACGAATATTAATTGAACAGGCTCTGGCAAGCTATCGCAAGCACAAAAGAATCAAATTACTTAAACAAATATTTAAAAACTGAGAAGGAAAATTGTAATTAAAAATTTTTATACTTCAAAAAATTCTTTGCTATAAAAAATAGATCCAATTAGAAGAAATTGTCTCATTTAGATTTAAAATTATGCATTCAACCGTATCCCTTAATTTCAGGTGCTTTGTTTTTTACCTATTCGCTACTACTCCATCAAAATTTAAAATGGTCTTTGCTTTCCTAATCCTTCCCTCCTAACTCAGCAAGGGATATATGAAACTTAATACCCCCTTTTAAGCCCTTTCCCACTTTTTGACATATTTAGCCTGGGGTCAGAAAAGAATGAATGAAGATAAAGTTGAAAAAGAAAAAGGCAATTTGAGACAACAGATAAGATGAGAAGTAATTATTTAGCCAGGGCCAAAAGTGCCTATTATGTATTCACGGGGAAAATTGATCTTGATAGGTGCATTAGTGTGCTTCGTTGAGCCCATTTTCAGAGACAGTATTTTCAGGGGAATGATGTTGATTATTTGTTGGGGGAATATTGACGTAAACAGGAAATTAAAACGGCTGCAACATCAAAGAGTATTCCGCCGCTCTTCCACAAGAACCGAGTAGTTTATTCCCAAGGGAAACTAGAGTAGGGAGCAGACGTTAAGACTCCTTGGGAAGGGGAAATAGTTGAAATATTGGCGAGAGGAGGGGGCTTAAATGACACTTGAGGTGATTCCTTATCACCAACTTCTCCTTTCATTCCTAAAAATTCTTTTGTAAACAGTGAAAAATCGTTATTTTAGAGCACTGCATTCAACAACCACCCCAGGAAAATTTTTTTAAGATAAATTAAGTCACTGCAAACTCACTAATGAGCTGGATTGAATAGAAGATGCAAATTATTGAAACAGAACATTGCTATGAATTATTGAAACAGAACATCGAATTGCTAAAACTTAAGCTCAAATTTTTTTTGTTAACTGAACAAAAATATTTTAAGCTTCAGCTAATTTTACCACTTAAACATATGCGTTTTCAGCAAACATTTCACTAAATTTCATTGTTCGGTTTATAATTTCAGTCAGAATGAATATTTTAGTCTCTGTGGCTAACTTGGTTAACATTTTAATCCCGGTTAGGCGCGCTACTACATCACCATAGACTGTAATATAAGGATACACCACTATAGTTTCCTTTCGAAGCCACGTCACCTCTACTTAACTATATTTTTTCCATGATTACGTCTGGGTCACAAGTGTTGTGGTTTTTTTGTCACTTTCATTTCTCGCGACGAGAAGTGCCTGGAAACCACCAGACAGATGACGTCATTTCGGGCTGAAAAAAAGGTTTTTTATTACACCCAGCATCAAAGCAAAAAGATGTTGCGTCATCGTCATCATAAGACTTCAAATACAGAAATAAACACGACAATACACTCATCTACTTTAAATTATAGTTCTCATCATCTTAGTCAGATTTGAGATTTCAAACATGATTAATTTTAGTGAATACAAAATGACACAATTCGAAACCAAATATCTTGTAAAACTTAAAATTTTCTATGAGAGCAGCAATTTAAGACACTTTTACGGCCGGAAAGTACATAGTTCCTGGTCGCAAACAAAACGTGGGAGTATTGCGGCTTTCGTGTAAAAAATAAAAAGGATCAGTCTTTCAATTTATGACAAATAAAAATATACAGGAGTAGGAACGTGGAATTATTTATATCAGCTATTTTTTTCTGCTGCTTTCACATGTTCACTCACACTGATTGGTGATATCGACAGATAAAAGTATAAAAGTATCCCCAAATACTAATACATCATACAACAGGACCCTGGATACCAGGACATAAAAAATTCCTCTGTTGACAACCGTGTAAAACTGTGCGAGCGATCTAGGGATGAGGCTTTTCCTTTCCTATTAGGACGCAAAAAGTAAGCTGATACTTGCACACATGCAGGAAAATTAAGGAAAAGATGGGAACGACTTAAAAAGAAGACATCTGTTGCAGTAATAAACAAACAAGCCACGTTTAAACTGCCAATTATGAGTTCTCCCCTTCCCTTCATCAAAATAAAAAACGTCTGATTGATAAAAAAACGCCATTCAAATTTTGAAAACTTGAAACAGTTAACGAAGCAAAATTTTACCTGAATAAATTAAATGAAAAAACGGATATAAAAATAGGATGTTTAATAGCATGTTTTGGTTTCAGTCTTTCCACCTTAATGATAGCCAGCCTGCAATCTCCAGAGGTGATGATTGTGATTGGTCTGGCGGGAATTCTGCTAGTTGTTGTGATTGTAGCCGGAATAACAACAATGGTGTGCATAAACAGATCCAACCGGTTCTCGAATGGAATGCGACCCAATAGAGTTTACTACTATGGCAATGGGACTAACGGACAGCAGCCACCTAGTACTACCAACTCACAGAATATTACACAGAGTCTATACATTTACGGGGATGGCGGAAGGTAAAATTGTAGTATTTTTTTCAAGTCACCTGATGTTAATTTAGACACCTTAGTGTAACATACATGTGAAAAACCAATTTTTGCCCAATTAGTTTTTTTCAGGAATTAATATCCCCCCACCAAGTTTTTTTTTAATCATGATAATTCTGGTCCCGGTACAAATGAAATATTTGGTCCTCTCGTATTTCTGAAAAATGGGTTTCGTGAAGCTTTCCGCCATTTTCTTGATAAATAATGCTCGGCCAAATAAATACATGCAGTTTTTGAAAAATAAGTTCATGATTTTCATTTTGGGGCTTTCGTAAATAGTTAGGAGAAAATAGCATCGACACAAAGTGTACCTAATTTTTTACTTTCTCCTTCTGCGTTTGTCAAATTATGGGTCAGCCTATTTTTCCCTGTGACTAACTGTATCGTATTACAAAACATTTTTACAATCTTTACGAATGGTTCTTTGTTTTAGGTTAAATAACAACCGTGACATGCGGGACTACATGCGACCTTGATATCGACCCAGCTGCTGTTAAGCAACTCTGACTTTGCCCATGAGTTTGACCTGCCACTTGACAGCAGTTCCTGATGAGTCTCCGATCTCATCGCGAGCTACTGAGTGCTGCCATCCTTTGGCACGACGTGCATCTATCTCTCAACTCGATGTTGACACACGACAATTACAAAATGAACTGCCTTGACCTTTTGGGTGACACAGTTTCGCAATAGACTTGCGCTGCTATTTTACACATTTCATTTTGCTTTCCTACTATTTTTAAGTTATCAAATAAAGCTCCGAAACAATTGTTTTTACTGGAAAAAATCAGCTCGTTTTAGCATTATTACACGCCAAGCAAGGCATTGAGTCGCAACTAAGCTCTCCCATATCACCCACTCATTAACTGAGCTATCTTACAATAAATATGAGTCATGAAATGAGGAGCTGAACATTCACTTCATTTTTAGCTCAGGTTGAGCCACAACTTAGCCAAGTTTAGCTACAATAAAAGTAGCTGGCAAAAAAAAACCTAATTGAAAAATTTAACACAGAGGCATGGCTGAGAATCACAAATCTCGCAATATAGCACAATCAGAGCACTGCAAGCATGTTAATGAAAAATGAGACGGAAATCACTACGTCGAAAAAAATCTGAACTTTTTTAACATTTGAAGAAAACCCAAATTCAAAAAACAGTCGAGAAACAAGTACCAGCAGTCAAAAGCTTTCATTTACTGAGCGACTACTAATCCGACAATACTTGTGACTTTGAGCCAAAAAATGCCATAAAAAGTGTCATATTTTTTGAGCCACACTTTTACACCATATTCTCCCTGAAAAGCTCAAAAAATATATAAAAAATTTTTACTTTTCAAACTGAGAAAAATAAGATCACTACCACCAAACAGAAGCCAAAACCATCTGATCCAAATCAAAACCTGCATTTAAAGTTAACAGGACGACTGTAAATTCTAATGCAAATTATTTAAATCAGAAGAAAACTCACGCTTTGGACATTGAGCTGATTCAATTTTTGAGCCAATTCAATTTTTCTCAAAAAACAAAAATCAATTTCAAAACATACTGAAAAAACAAGTTCCGTCTAGTATTCGAACTCAAGACCTTAAAAGGAGCCCGAGTTACCTCTGGACCAAGTGAGAAAGATCCTGAAAGTTGTTTAAATTAAACATCAAAGCAATTTCAAAGTTTTTTTTACGGTGAAAAGCCTAATTACCGATTAAGCTCTTTTAATACGCGGAATTTATTCATTTCAGGGGGAAACACTGATTAACGCGCTTAGTAGTAGAAAATGCACAGTATCAAATTTGACGGAGCTCGCATCGTCTTCTTTGCCGTTTCTACGAGTGAATTAATAGTCTGCTCTGAATAATGTCTGGGCTTGTTGTTCCGACTTTTGAAGAAAACGGAATCTTTATGCTCGGTGTGGTTTTTTTCATTCAGTCAATTTTCACCGATCCAAATAATAATTTTCACCAAAAATTTTTATTCTCCATTGAAGATATCGACTTCTTGAGTTCAAATGCAAAAAAGATATTTCACCTCCAATTGTTTTTTGTTAAGTTCTGGGGGCTTGAAAATTGCCAAAATTTCTATGTACCTGGACTAAATTATGCGCGCTTTAAAGAGTTTATTCATAATGCTGAGAGCGTAACGCGAATTATTTATGCGTGGCGAATTATCCCGCACAAAAAAATCGTTCCATATTGAATTGAGGCTAGCTAATTGATCGTATTAATTTCGTCACAGAATATTACACAGAGTCTATACATTTACGGGGATGGCGGAAGGTAAAATTGTAGTATTTTTTTCAAGTCACCTGATGTTAATTTAGACACCTTAGTGTAACATACATGTGAAAAACCAATTTTTGCCCAATTAGTTTTTTTCAGGAATTAATATCCCCCCACCAAGTTTTTTTTTAATCATGATAATTCTGGTCCCGGTACAAATGAAATATTTGGTCCTCTCGTATTTCTGAAAAATGGGTTTCGTGAAGCTTTCCGCCATTTTCTTGATAAATAATGCTCGGCCAAATAAATACATGCAGTTTTTGAAAAATAAGTTCATGATTTTCATTTTGGGGCTTTCGTAAATAGTTAGGAGAAAATAGCATCGACACAAAGTGTACCTAATTTTTTACTTTCTCCTTCTGCGTTTGTCAAATTATGGGTCAGCCTATTTTTCCCTGTGACTAACTGTATCGTATTACAAAACATTTTTACAATCTTTACGAATGGTTCTTTGTTTTAGGTTAAATAACAACCGTGACATGCGGGACTACATGCGACCTTGATATCGACCCAGCTGCTGTTAAGCAACTCTGACTTTGCCCATGAGTTTGACCTGCCACTTGACAGCAGTTCCTGATGAGTCTCCGATCTCATCGCGAGCTACTGAGTGCTGCCATCCTTTGGCACGACGTGCATCTATCTCTCAACTCGATGTTGACACACGACAATTACAAAATGAACTGCCTTGACCTTTTGGGTGACACAGTTTCGCAATAGACTTGCGCTGCTATTTTACACATTTCATTTTGCTTTCCTACTATTTTTAAGTTATCAAATAAAGCTCCGAAACAATTGTTTTTACTGGAAAAAATCAGCTCGTTTTAGCATTATTACACGCCAAGCAAGGCATTGAGTCGCAACTAAGCTCTCCCATATCACCCACTCATTAACTGAGCTATCTTACAATAAATATGAGTCATGAAATGAGGAGCTGAACATTCACTTCATTTTTAGCTCAGGTTGAGCCACAACTTAGCCAAGTTTAGCTACAATAAAAGTAGCTGGCAAAAAAAAACCTAATTGAAAAATTTAACACAGAGGCATGGCTGAGAATCACAAATCTCGCAATATAGCACAATCAGAGCACTGCAAGCATGTTAATGAAAAATGAGACGGAAATCACTACGTCGAAAAAAATCTGAACTTTTTTAACATTTGAAGAAAACCCAAATTCAAAAAACAGTCGAGAAACAAGTACCAGCAGTCAAAAGCTTTCATTTACTGAGCGACTACTAATCCGACAATACTTGTGACTTTGAGCCAAAAAATGCCATAAAAAGTGTCATATTTTTTGAGCCACACTTTTACACCATATTCTCCCTGAAAAGCTCAAAAAATATATAAAAAATTTTTACTTTTCAAACTGAGAAAAATAAGATCACTACCACCAAACAGAAGCCAAAACCATCTGATCCAAATCAAAACCTGCATTTAAAGTTAACAGGACGACTGTAAATTCTAATGCAAATTATTTAAATCAGAAGAAAACTCACGCTTTGGACATTGAGCTGATTCAATTTTTGAGCCAATTCAATTTTTCTCAAAAAACAAAAATCAATTTCAAAACATACTGAAAAAACAAGTTCCGTCTAGTATTCGAACTCAAGACCTTAAAAGGAGCCCGAGTTACCTCTGGACCAAGTGAGAAAGATCCTGAAAGTTGTTTAAATTAAACATCAAAGCAATTTCAAAGTTTTTTTACGGTGAAAAGCCTAATTACCGATTAAGCTCTTTTAATACGCGGAATTTATTCATTTCAGGGGGAAACACTGATTAACGCGCTTAGTAGTAGAAAATGCACAGTATCAAATTTGACGGAGCTCGCATCGTCTTCTTTGCCTTTTCTACGAGTGAATTAATAGTCTGCTCTGAATAATGTCTGGGCTTGTTGTTCCGACTTTTGAAGAAAACGGAATCTTTATGCTCGGTGTGGTTTTTTTCATTCAGTCAATTTTCACCGATCCAAATAATAATTTTCACCAAAAATTTTTATTCTCCATTGAAGATATCGACTTCTTGAGTTCAAATGCAAAAAAGATATTTCACCTCCAATTGTTTTTTGTTAAGTTCTGGGGGCTTGAAAATTGCCAAAATTTCTATGTACCTGGACTAAATTATGCGCGCTTTAAAGAGTTTATTCATAATGCTGAGAGCGTAACGCGAATTATTTATGCGTGGCGAATTATCCCGCACAAAAAAATCGTTCCATATTGAATTGAGGCTAGCTAATTGATCGTATTAATTTCGTACGACTCAAAATTTTACAATTAGATATTGTCCAAAATGTATAGCTTTTCAATATTTTTTCCACAAAAACTATTCGACAAGAATTGAGGGACAGTCGGAACATTCAGGGCTTTGCCCTGATAAACGAGCAGTCTTGTTGTATTCTCGCCTGCTATTGCTTTCGCCTAATATGTATAGTAGTTTTTAGTTCTCTTTGGGTTAAAATTCTACATTCCAGCATTGAAAAATTTAATTCACAGCACGCGTTGATTCGCCAACATGCTACGCGTTAATAGAAAATGCATCATATAGCAAAAATAATCATTTCAAATGTGAAACCCCATAACTTTACGAAAAAGTGTCACAGGTAAAATAGCCGTTGATTGTGGGCTCAGGACTTCATTATCGTTTCGATAGTATTAAAAATTCCGTCGAAAACATTAAAACATTGTAATATAAACCGAAATGGGTCTGAAAAAACACTCAAACATAAACAATCCCCAAAAACAAAAGCGTAAATAATCCGCGAAAGACAAAACAATTACTTTTTTGAAAAAATCTTTCTGCTGAAGCCGTAGACAATTTTATCCGCAAATTAGTTTTATTTTCAGTTACGCATCGAAAATTTGTTTCTCGAAGGTATCCACGCTTTTGAAAGGAAGGAATAGTTAAGAGGACGGTACAAGTTTTGTAGAAAACAATTCTGATGAACATAAGAGTGAGCAAACGAAAAATATTTTTTGCTTGATAGAGATTTATTGGCACAAAATGACATTTCAGAATTCTATAAAAGCGTTATTAAAACTGGGACTGTGGACACCAATAAACAACACATTGTTTTTGCGTCAAATAGTTTAGCTGAAATAAATTAAAAACAGAGGCAAAGCTGCACTGCGTAAAAGCAAGCAAGAAAACAAAAATTAGCAGTAAAAAATGAAATCAGAAAAGAAAAGTAAAATAAAGCATTGAAGACTAAAACTTTTGCTCCGGATTAGAACCAACGACCAGGAGATTGGGACTCGCAGGTCCTTGCATCTGCGCCACGGGTCCTGGAAAATTCACTAATACTAGCCACCAATAAAGCAGCTACAAAAGCTTATAAATTGCCAATAATCATATGCTAAAAAGTCGCACCAAATATAAGTAGACAAAAATTTTGCATGGTGCAATTTGGAATATAATAAACTAAAAGCATCCACACTAATTTGGCATTTAAAAAATTGGAGAGCATAAAGCTAAACTAGCGTGTAACGCACCTCCGGTGCTTAGAATTTTGAACAACTCAAAAACCGCATATACTGAGAACATGATCTGCATCCTTTGAGTGTACCCTGACAGCAACTGATTGCAGGGTTGGTAGTTTTATTCACGTTTTTTTCCAAATTTTGAAAAATCACAAATTTTTGAAGTTCTTATATATAGCCGAGAACTTGAAACTTAAAATTTTCTACGTCTAAAAAAATCTTTGAAAAATCTTGATAAAATCCTAAAAACCGTCAAATCTCGAGAACTACAGGGATTTGAGTTGTCAAATTCAGAGCCGAGATTCGCAACTCATGTGAGTACCCTCACAGTCTCCAACTACAGGATTGAAATCTACGAAGTTTTTAAAATCTTTTAAATCATAAGCTTTTTGAAAACTATTGAAAAATCATAAAAAACGTCATATCTCAAAACTACAAGGATTTGATAAGTGAGATTTGGAGGCAAGATTCGCAACCCCTAAGAGTGACCTCACAGCCCCCAAAAAATTAAATTTGAGTTTTCTGAAAACTTTTAGAAAAATCCCAAAAAACGTCGTATCCCGAAAACTCTCACTATAGATATGGGAGTTTCAAATTTTGTGAAATTTTTTCATCTAAGTTCTGTGATTATCCTTTGAGTGTACGCCGACAGCAACCAATAGCAGGGTTGGAAGTTTCAAATTTCGCACAGTTTTTTTATTCAAGTTTTTTTTTCAAATTTTGAAAAACCATAAACTTTTGTGAAGTTTTTATATGTTCTTTGAAAATATTTCAAATGAACTAAGAAACGTCACATTTCCGAAACATAGAACAAAGAGCAGTCGCATTTGGACGCAAGATTTGCAAATCATGAGAGTGTGTCACAAAACCCAACTACAGGGTTAGAAATTTCAAATTGCGAAACTTTTCAAATTAAAGTTTTCTAAAAACAAAACTTCAAAAACCATAAAAAACTTCAAACTCATTATAGGCTTGAGCAGTCAGATTTGGAGGCAAGATTCGCAACCCCTGAGAGTACTCTGACAGCCCCCAAGTAAAGGATTAGGTATTTCGAAGTTGAAAAAATTAAACTTAAGTTTACTGAAAATTTTTTATAAAAAAAAAATGAAAACATTCATATCTCAAAACCTAGAAAGATTTGAGCAGCCTTGATTACACGCAAGTATCTCAAGCCCTGAGAAAACTCTGACCGCCCCATTTACAGGGTTAAGAATTTCTATCTGGAAAAAAGTTAATTTTAGTTTTCTGATTAATTTTTGAAAAAATCACTTAAAACATCATATCTGGAAAACTAACGAGATTTGAGCAGTCATATTTAGAGGGACGTTTCGTAACGCCTCTTAATACTCTGATAGCCCCCACTACAAAGCTGGAAACCCAAAATTTTGAAAAAAAAATTAAATTCAAGTTTTCTGAAAACTTTTTGAAAAATCCCAAAAAACGTCATATCTCGAAAACCAAAAGAGTTTGAGCAGTCATATTTAGAGGGAAAATTTGCAACTCTGAGTCAAACCTTTACATAGCCTCACTATAAAGATGAGAACTTAAAATTCAAAATTTTCTATATCTAAAATCTTTGAAAAATCTCGAAAAAATCCTAAAAACAGTCAAATCTCGAAAACTACAAAAATTTGAGCAGCCATATTCAGAGGCAAGATTTGCGACCCGCTGAGAGTATCCTCACAGATTCCAATAACAGGGTTGAGATCTTCGTTGAGAATTTTTAAGATCTAATTTTTTTTGAAAATTACGGAGAAAATCATAAAAAACTTCATATCTCAAAAACTACAGGATTTTGAGCAGTCATATTCAGAGGCAAGATTCGCCTCTCAGCTTCCAACTACAGGATTGCGATCTTCAAAGTTTTTAAATTTTTAAATCTTAGGTTTTCTGAGAATTTTTGAAAAATCATATCAAAAACGTCATATCTCGAAAATTATAAGGATTTGAAAAGTAAGGTTCGGAAGCAAGATTCGCAACCTCTGAGAGTACCATGACAGCACTCAACTACAGGGTGAGAACTTCACAAATTGAGAAATTTTTCAAAATTAAATTTTCTAGAAACTTCGAAAAAATGCCTATCTCGTAAACTAAAAGGATTTGGTTATTCATGTATGGAGGCCAGAGTCGCAAAACCTGGGAAAACTCTGACAACATCCCACAATTGTGCTGCTAATTTCACACTTGATGACAAACACTAAATTTAAACTGGAAACTCGAAAAAACCTTAACCATTGCAATATACGATATAGCTTAAACGTGAAAAAATTCTCTTGTTAAATATGCTAAAATATTGCATTGGAAAAGCTTAAGCATGGCGAGATAGTGCAGCCCGCATTTAAATATACAAAAGACAATAGATATTATAGATTATGAACAAACTATGCATTTCACAATTTTTTTGATAACTTACCTCACTACCAACTAGTTCGGATGCATCTCAGATTATCAACACGAAGCGAAAAGAGAATACATGAATACCAGCTTTACCGAGATCAAGTACTCCCAATTAAAACTGGAATTTTTTTTCCAGTCGAAAATTTGATTATTTTCAGAAATAGTACGTTCACATCTCCATTCCAACAGTCTGGAATTGACAGTTGTAGCCATTGATAGGATGCTGAAAACTCACTAATTAAACACAAAAATGAAAATTTGCGAAATATGTACCCAATTTATGTAAAAGCAAAAAAAGTATCTATGAAATTTTACTCAAAGCCATTTCATTCTAAAAAAATTATATGGCAAAAAACTTTAAGATACGTAATTGACTCAAAAGGAAACACTGACTGATTTTACAGCAAACTAGTTCAAATTTCAAGTTAGAATTTAAAGTTTAACTTTATTTTCAACTAGATGACAATTCTAAGCCTCTCCAGATTCTAATAACAAAGTTATTATATTCCGGAAAGCTTGGCAGTCCAAAAGAACACTATCATAAAGGCTAAAGGTTAACCCCTTTGGTAGATAAAAAAACAAGCAAATACAAGAACAGGGGCGGATCTAGGATTTTCTCGAAAATTTTGTCGACCTTTTTTTTCAGGTCGACCAAATTGATTTCTCGAGCTCTCCCAAAGCACTGTTTTGTCCCTATTTTGGCCAAATTTTCTGCGCCGCAGGCAAAATTTTGAAAAAATAGGCCAAAAAAGGCGTTTTTAGGCACTTTTTGGATTTAAAAGGACGCCCCCCCCCCCTTTTCAGGGATTCGACCCCCTGCCGACCCAAAGGGTCCCCCCTTTGGAACTTTTAAGAAATCCATTTTAAGAAATCCAAAAAGTGCCTAAAAACGCCTTTCTTGGCCTATTTTTTCAAAATTTTGCCTGCGGGGCAGAAAATTTGGCCAAAATAGGGACAAAAAGTGCTTTGGGAGAGCTCGAGAAATCAATTTGGTCGACCTGAAAAAAAGGTCGAGAAAATCCTAGATCCTAACCCTAAATCCGCCCCTGTACATGAACATAAAAAATTTAGGCCCATGTGAGCATCCCTCTCCCCAACATTGACCAAGTGACATTCTTCCCCCAGCCAAATATATGACGAACTCAAAAATATTGGATAGAACTCGTTAAACAAGCTAAAAATTATTATGAAAAAACTATTATAATGATCGCGTCGGTCTCGCCACATAATCTTGCAAATACCAATGCAAAAAAGTCTTAGGACGACCGAGCATTTTTTTTATTAAAAATTTTTTGTGTTCGAGTACGACTCCACAATTTGAGTATGAAATCTAGTTTCGGGTTCCTTCGTTCGGCATTTCTTTGGGTAACAATTTCAATTTAGCCGATACAGGACTTTCAGCTTCTATCGACTATTCCAAAAAACGCAAATCTGTTTCTTGGGAGCCCTGTCTCGATTTTTTGTTTTTTTTAGAAACAACTTTCATCAATTTGGACAATAACTTCAGGTCCACCCAGCAGAACAATTTTTTTGCAAATAAGGGTCACAAATTTCGCGTAAACAAACAAATACACTAATATCACTTTAGTTTGTCAGCCCGTTTTGGATTTGGGTCTGCTTATTCGACGTTTAGACTGACCATAGATAAATTAATTGCAGTAAATTTTGTATATTTAGGCTTCTTTTTTCGCGAAACTCCCTTCTCGAACCGGAATGATCATTTTATATCGTGAACACGCGCAATTTTGGCACTTACCGGCATAATTATCTTTAGTTTTTGTTGTATTTGGTCAGTGCACATCTTTTTGACAATTCCGACAGGGTTGAGGTGCTGATAACAAATCATGGTGTTTAAATTTTTGTTAAACATAAGCTATAATTAGACAAGCAATGATCAATTGTTTCATTAAATTTCATGAGAACAAACAAACGGCTAATTAATCTGTCAAATATTTACTCAACTTAATTCTTTTTTCTCCTGAAAAAAAAACAAAAACAATTATCAGCACCTATACAAGAGTCTGAACTATGCTCATAGACTCTTTAAAACAACAGGAAGACAGTCAATTATAAATATGCAGACAAATCAGTCCAAAAATTCAAATTTTTCCGGAAAAAATTTTCAATTTCATACATATTGAAAAAACAAGGTCCGAATGTGACTCGAATCTCAGATCTTAGAATTCAACCTTGTAAGCAAAAGCGTAACCACGTGCAATAAGCCAGGAAGTTAAGATAGATCGAGTTCACTCTTTTATATTTGGAAGGAAAACAATGTACAGGAAAAAGTCTAGTTCCCGATTAAGCATGCCTAACACATCGAATTTCTTGATATCAGGGGAAATTCTCGCAGACCTTAGAATTCAACCGCGTAAACAACCGCGCTACCAAAGGCGAAAGAGCCTGGAAGTTTTTAAGGGATTCAACCGCGTAAGCAACCCCTTTACCAAGTGCGAAAGAGACTGGAGGTGGTGTTAAAGGATTCAATCGCTTAAGCCACCCCGTTACCAAGTGCGAAAGAACCTGGAAGTTGTTAAAGTATTCAACCACGTAAGCAACCGCGTTACTAAAGGCGAAAGAGCCTAGAAGTTGTTAAAGGATTCAACCGCGTAAGCCACCCCGTTACCAAGTGCGAAAGAGCCTGGAAGTTGTTAAAGGATTCAACTGCGTAAGTAACCGCGTTACTAAAAGCGAAAGAGCCTGGAAGTTGTTAAAGGGTTCAACCGCGTAAGCAACAGCGTTACCAAGTGCGAAAGAGCCTGGAAGTTGTTAAAGGATTCAACCGCATAAGCAACCGCGTTACTAAAGGCGAAAGAGCCTGGAAGTTGTTAAAGGATTCAACAGCGTAAGCAACCCCATTACCAAGTGCGAAAGAGCCTGGAAAATGTTAAAGGATTCAACCGCGTAAGCAACCGAGTTACTAAGTGCGAAAGAGACTGGAAGTTGTTCAAGTTCAATAAAAAATCGAGTTCGCTTTTTAAATATTTGTGAGGAAAAGAGTTTACGGGAAAAAAGTCTAGTTCCCGATTAAGCATGTATAATACGCGGAATTTCTTGACTTAAGGGGAAACACTGATTCACGCGAACTGATTCACGCGCATTTCATTCTATTCTTGTCTGCTATTGCTATATATATCGGCATAACACTTTTTTTGTTTTTTTTTCTAAGTAACTTTTAAATTGATTTTCGGATAATTTCGAAACAAATACTTACTAGGCAAACTGGTAATTAATAATTTTCTGCATTTGAGAAGTGGATTTTTTTGAAACTAAAACTGGCGATTTTGAAACTACCAGTATTTTTTAACCAGGTAAATAAGTTTATGGGTCAGCTAATGGTCAAATAAAAAAAATATGAGCTGTTGTTCCGACCACTCTCGTAGTCGGCATAAGCTAAGTCGTAGGGGGAAAATACCGTTTTCACCTACAAGACGTACTATTATTATGTCATATATTAACCATTTGCAAATAATTAATCTAGTTTAAAAGCGTATTATGATCTTAGTGCGTATCAGCGGGTCTTTAAGCGTATTATGATCCTAAAAACGTATCAACGGGTCAACCAATTTTTTCGTTGAATTTTTTGAAATTCGGGAAAAAAATCGATTTAAGAATCAATTCAAAAATCGATTATAAGCCAATAAATTGGTGCAAAGCAATTAGCAAAAATATCGAAAAAACAATCTGCCAAAATTTTCATACGTTAAACTCGCTCTGTCTCGAACGAAGATTCATTAAGACGAAAATTTTAAAAAATTGCCAGCTAGAATTAGCATTGAAACAAAAAAACACGCAGCCTATAATACTTGGGCAGACAACTCATTTGTCTCGATTGAAGATTTATTTTCAGAAAAAAATTCAAAATTGCCAGCTAGAATTAGCGTTGCAATGAAAAAAAAAACACAGACGCTATTTGGGGAGACAACTCAATTTTTCTCGATTGAAGATTCATTTTGAGAAAAATTGCCTGCTAGAATTAGCATTGAAACCATAAATACGAATCCTATAATTATTGGCCAGGCACACATAGCCATTTAAAATTTCAGCATTAAAATAGTTTGCTCACGCCTAGGAAAGTTCCCGCCCTTTATATGACACAAAGTGAGTCGATTAAGCAGATCGATCATAAGCCGAAACCATTTAAAACCAAAAAAAACTTAGCAGTTGTGATTTTTACAACCAAGATAACAAACAAATTTTGAATAGATGTGCATTAAAAAACGCAAACATGCTCTAAATGTGTGTTGTTGGTTGCCGAAATAACAGAGCTGACGAAATGATTCATTGATTTCGTTTAACTAATTATGTGAAAAAACCTGTTCCGATTTAATAACGCTTTCTAATCGCAAACGTAAACATCGTCTAGTAAATTACTCCAATGATCAACGCTGAAAACTGATGTATCTTGCAAAATCATTGGTCCGAAAAATTTTCGGAAATTTCAGCTTGAAAACAGTTTTTTAATTGATTTTATTTGAAAATTTCAGAGAATAATAAAATAGATTTAAATATGATTTATTTAGGCTTTTAAAATCGTGGGTACAGTAAAATCATAACGGCAGATTCCACAAGTTTTCCGGATATTATTCGGATCACTCAAGATTATTACACATTCGCTCGGATAACTTTGAAAACGAGGTCAACCAACGCATTCTTGATTACCAATAAAAACAATTTTGATTGCCACATTTCAATGAAGTCGTATTTCAAATGTTAGCCGTACTCAAAGGCACTGAGTTTGCAATTTTCTCATCAAAATTAGGCTTTGATGTATCAGGAACAGATACCGCGACTTGTTCAGGCGGTGCAATGCTTATAACTGATGTTGACCTTTCGGTAATAGGAAAAGGTGAAACAATTCCGACGTTTAAGTCTGTCAGCGACTCTTGAGAATCCACTGAAAGAGGGTAGTTTTCAAAGTATCCATTGGTCGAGCATCCTGAAGGTGATCCAGGGGTAGTATTGATGATGTCAACTATTCGTTCACTTCCACAGTTTGGAGTTTGCGATACTGAACTCTGAGGCGTGCGATTTCCCATGAACGAGTCGTTAGCAATTTGAGAGGCGATTGAGAAGTCGTCCAGATTCGATAGACTGTTAGCAGCTAGTTGTTCTCTAGAAACATTCAAAAAAATTTACATTGGGCAGTTTAACTTAGCATAGTGTATTATGTACATTTTCTAATAATTTTGAAGCATCCAATCAACGATGCCTCGGAACTGCTTTGAATTCTTCCTACCCGGAAACACATGACAAATCAGCTGATTGGCTGTAAGTCTTTTTTGGTCTGGTAGCCACTGCCAGGCGACAGAAGTGTCTTGTGGATCATTTCATGATCTTAGGAGCTTGTGGTTCAGTTTCACCTGACGTGTGGTGATAACCAACTCAGTAAAAAACAACAAGAGCGATAGAAGTCCACACTTACTGCTTAGCATGAGTGACGAGATGTGTTTTGAGGTTGGTGCTCTGAGCGAATCTCTTGTTGCAGTACTGGCACACGTGTGGGCGGTCTCCAGTGTGTATTCTCACGTGAGTTCTCAAATTGAAGTCCAAAGAAAACCTCTTACCACAACCTTCGAACGTGCACTAAATCAAACGAAGATTAAGATCGAAGAAATTAAGCATGGCCAACATACAAATGAAAAGTGTCAATGAACTATTGATTATTTTCGAAGCGTTTTCGAAGACAAAATTTACGGCATGAAAGCTCTTTGGTTTTCAAAGTTTTTTTAAGATTGACAATATTTTTTGATGAAATTAACCCAATTTGCGCTGCACTTCGCAAACGCGAGAAAACAGCAAAAAGTAGCTCAGAGGAGAAACATAAAAATTAAAGTCCATTTTCAAAAAAAAAGAAAAAAAGTCATTCATGGTTTTTGTGCAACATTTCAATTCAAGAGCGTAATGTGCCTTTTTAATGTAAATTCAAACTATTTTAGCTATGACAATGAAATTCAAAAATTTCCTAAAAATCGGAACAACCAAGACGACCTATATAAGTGTCTTCATTATGTTCATTTACACTAACACGTTTTACATTGACCAGCTTGATAGCCATCATACAGAAGCAAAGCTGAGCTTCGCACCACTTGCATTACAGCATAATCGCTCACAAAGTAGCAAAGAAGACTTCAAACAAGGTAAATAATGCAGAAAAATAAAAACGTTGTAAAATTGCAGTTTTTTCATAACAAATTTTTCTCGCGGGGTTGATTTGAAAGGAATGCAAGATGGTATGCTCTATTCGGAAACTTAAACGAGTTTAAGTCGACAGCCATGAAGCCGAAAACTTCCGATACAACACAAACCTAGCACGAAAAACTAGCAGACTTAAATCGATACCAAAGCCAGTTTTTTTCGAAAATGAAAAACAAAAAACACCAAAATTTTCATATTTTTGCCTCAAACTGTCTTGAATGAAGTTCAATTTAAAAAAAACACGCCAAAAAAGAAAATTGAATGTTAAATTTGCATCGAAACAAAAGTTATGAAGCTGTAACAAGCCGACAATTTTTCAGCAGACACCTGTTGAGCCAAAGAAGATTTCTGAATTGAGTATTTAAAAAACTTCTAAGTAACCGCTTAAACAACTCACACGCATAAGAAACTTCTTTCGCTCATCAAACGACCCAATAACATGCCCTTTAGCCCATCAGGTATAAAACAAAAACTTTTGAACCGAGTAAACAAAACAAATTTTGAGGTAAATGTATTCATGAAAGTATTTTGAAGTGAATAAAAACACCGAGTAAATATTTTTGTCAATGAAAATTGCCAAAAAGAAGCTGAATTTTCAAAGAATTCCTTTCTGCGGAAGCAAAGCTTCTGCCGTTTCAAGCCATTACCGTTTGAAGCATTTGTGTTACCTCTGCGCCAGATGCCTCCGATGGTTTTTTGATATTGAACTCAAAATAATGAAGCGGTAACAGCCGAAAATACCTGAGAAGCCCTTCATGCTAAAAAAACGTTTAAGTTCTAAGCTAACACAGGGCTTCGCACCACTTGCGATACCAAAAAAATGAGATATTTCAAAAGATAATGTGCCTGAAACGAAGTGAAAAACTTGAATGAATTCTGTTAAAGAAAACGTAGGCTTGAAAAATCAAGAAAAATTTTATTGCAAATCTTCAAAAACCAATTACCTAAAGAAGGATTCGGGCCACACAGACCCCATTCATGTCTTTTTCATATCCAAAACATGGAAACAATAAAAAAAATACTGAAAAACACGATATCTAATTGTTCTGAATGGACTCAAAAACTTTGCAAAAACTATAAAACAAAAGCTTAATTTTCAAATAATTTCCAAAAAACTTACAGAAAAATGAAAAAACTCTTAAGGTTTATGGAAAAGAACCCAATTACATCAAACTTATCGAACATGAAGTTGATACGCAACGTTAAACGAGCTGGTGGATCACAACAAAAAAAGGTAAAATAAGAAAAACCAGTGGAAAACGCAAAAAACGAATTCAGAATTTTAGCTAGAAAGAACGACACTCCTGAATCTCGAGCAAAACTTGCCACATGTCTTTGCAGACAAAACAGTCAAGTCAAAATTGCAAACATTCTAGAAACTTATGATTTTTTTCGAAATAATTTTGACATATTAAATGAATAAGCTATGCCATCAACTTGAATCGATTTCAAACAAAACTGTTCAATCCTGAAATGCACTAAGCAAATTAAAATTGAAAATAATTCACGCACTTTTTGATTTTAAAAATCAAAAAAGAAGCATCCGAAAAAACTGCGGAAAAATATCAATAGTTAAACGTACAAGTTGGCTCAAAAAATCAAAAAAATTATACTACAATTTTTTTCAAAAAATGACAATTTTTCATGTTTAACTTTTCTTGCTTTCTTACGGAGGGCCTTAAAGGGTGTTTATAATTGTCACAAAACTATCGTTAGACTTCAATTGCTACAATAGACAACAATAATCAATAGAATGAAAACAATAGGAAAATAAGCCGACAGAACTAAAGCCGACCGAACTCAGTGCCGAAAATCTACCAAAAACTTGGATCCGAAAAATTAATTTAAAACTCTTCACGTACTATATTTTGCCAATACAGTAACCATGCTATTAATTAGCAGTACAGCGGTACACTATCCATGTAGGTGGCGGGTATGAAATATACTGATTACCAATAGACCATTGTGAACAAAGTTGTTTACGGGGGGAAAAAGTCAAGTACCCGATTGCATTACCCTTGCTTATCGCAAGAGTAATACAAAAACTTCAAGTCCCCTTGCCCCTCAGAACACACACATGCACAAAAAATACTTTTTTCGGTCCTCAAACGACGCAATAAGAGGAGGCCACTTAGTCAATATTAATTCAGTCGAAACATATTGAGCCGAAAAAAAATTTCTAACAAACCGAGTTGGTAAGATTACAACCCCCAACATAAAAAGCAAAATTTAATTAGGTCGGATATAAAAAGCTAACATGCTCAAAATACGTCTGTTGCAACAAAAAGGCCTGGTAGATGAATGAGTCCAGGAGATGAGTCTTGTGAACAAAGCTAACAAGGTTGCTCGTATCAGGGCAAAACCCTGAATGTTATAACTGTGTTTTAAACTCTATGGAGCAATATAAAATGAAAAAACTGATGAAATTTTAACAAATGAATAAAAACTGATGAAATTTAAAAAAAAAACATTATTTTTGATGTTTTTTTGTTGAAATTGCGTTAATTTTCCCTAAATCTTTAAACCCCCAAAACTTTACAAAAAATAATCATAGGCGGAAATAGTACCTTTCGAATGATGTAAAAAATTCCTTGAAAAACTGCTGAGTTAAAAAGTCGAAATTTATCTGGAGAAAAAAGAACACCCCGAGCACAAGTATTCCGTTACTTTCTTCGAAAGTCGGAACAATTATGGGGAAAAAGATTAGTACCCGATTGCAAATCCCTTGCTCATCGCTTGGGTAATGAAGCAAGTTAAAACATGTTAAAAAATTTTTACGTGCGAAAACTTCAGATTTGAATTCAATGAATCATAATAAACGTAGGCAATTTTTTTTGGCCACTAATTTGGCTTTCTGCTCTGACTCTTTCACTTTTAGACCCAGTTTGTAACACATTAAATTCGCCGTGTCTCCAGCCAGCATACCATGTCCGCGTTACATTGTCTTGAACCAAGGATGTGTCCGTTTGATTGCGAAATGATATTGACCAGTTGATAGCGAGCTTGACCAGTCTTAAAAAGTACAACAAATTTTTTTTCAAATGAATTTCGTTCTTTCTGCTTGCTACGACAAAAAGATCCACAAAACTAGAATTTAAGATAATTCGACAGTCATAGTAAGAATAAGCACTTAGGAAAACAAATTTTGTAGAAAAATGATTAAAAAACGAGAACATTTTTTTGTAGTTTCTGTTTGCAGAGGCGCAAACAAAAACCTAACTTTACTCGAGTAAAAATAAGTTATTACGAAGTCTTAAATTAAGCTATTGTAAAATCTTAGGCTATTAAATAAGCTATTGTAAACCTTCTCGCTCGAAAAAAGAAGAAAAATCAAAAAGTTTACACCGGTTTTTATCGACACGGAAAAATCCTTAATGTCGTTCGAACCCTGACTGAAAAAGCTTAAATATGATATTTCAGGCAACTCAATCCGGTGATGAAAATTAGTAGCTGATTTTGCGTGAAAAACAAACAAAAAACTAAAACACACCCGAATACAAAGCTCCTTCCCATTTTTTAATGGTCGGAACAAAAAAAACTAAAAGACACCCGAATACAAAAGTCCTACTCATTTTTCAAATGGTCGGAACAGAAAAAAGGAAAAAACTAAAACACTCGAATACAAAGTTCCTCCTCATTTTCAATGGTCGGAAGAATATGTACTAACTATATATTTCTTTTCTCCCGTGTGGACTAATTGATGTCTTTTTAACTTGCTGCTCTCCAAAAAAGATTTCCCGCATTCTGCACAAACATGCGCGCGCGGCCCATGCGTCAGTAGATGCTTTCTCATAGCGGAATGGTCCTTAAAAGCTTTGTCACATTGTGCATGAGGGCAGAGAACAGACCGATCATCTTCGTCGTCTGTTTTTTCGCCCTCTTCAAAGGCTTCTTTCCTTACTTTCTTTGTTTGATCCTGTGCATCTGCAACTTTCAGTGATTTTTTAATTTCATTTTTAGATGCCCGGTTTCTTTTCTGCGCAACACCTGGAAAGAACAGACAATGTTCATAGACGACAATACTAGAATAGAATGAGAAAAACAAACGTTGAATTACCTGCTTTCGATTTTGTTTTACGACTCTTAGTTCCATTGGACTCTTGGTGCTTGAGAAAACTTGGGTCAAGAGGTACGATATGTGATGATTCTTGTAGACCACTGAGGATGGAATCCAAATCGCCTTCACCGACCACCTCTTCATGTGACTCGATGATAATCTCCCCATCCCCGTCCTGTACAAAAGAGTCTTCAACAGGATTTGGCAGGAACATCATGTCTCATCACAAACTCTTTTTAAAATCCCGCGTTAGCTAACCATAATTGACTAAAATATATAAATCACCAATTTAAAGTCGAGTCAGAGCTTTGCTCTAATTCTGAGCGGATATTGATATCATTTCTAAACTCAAAAAAGACGATATTGGGTGCGCATTTGTCTGAAATTGGATCGTTGGCATAAGTAGTATGTGAAAAAAGTTGAAAACGAAACACCATCGGACAGGGTTAGAAACGAAGAAAACGAGTCAATTGGCCATTTAAGCTGCAGAATTTGGAATTTTGTCAAGTAAATCACTAATTAAAATGTTAACCGAAGTTAATACACTAGTCCTTCACATCGCCAAGTCAAAAACCATTGGAAATTCATAAATTAGGGATGGTAAAAAAATTTGAAGGAAAGTGAAGAGTATCAGATGGTTGAGAGTCAAGCCAGCCATATCGAGAAAACTAACACCTTTACAGAATAACACGGTAGCTCAAAAAATAAGCAATAGGATAATCCAGCGAATATGAATTCAATGCGCAGAGAATTAGCAGTGCCGGGAACACTTGGTCACACTTATGGGTGTCACTCGGACACTGCCAACTTACTTTCCAAAAACCTACTCTGTCAGAAAGATACCAAGCCAATTATGACAAATATCATCACTGTCCTCAAGTGGGTTCGCAATAACCATGCATATTCTGCCGACCTTGTGGAGAACAACATGAATAGACCTCCATTACCTTGCAAAACTCGAAGGAACAGCAATATCGACACAATCGAAGAATTCCAGAAGAACGGGTCAAAAGATGTAGAATGTGAAAGCTGTTTGCACTGGTATCACGTAAAATGCGGTGATTTATCGGATGATTAGTACCCAAACATAGGTGAAACCGTCTGGTACTGTAAACATTACATCGCGATAAGAGAGAAAAATAAGTCAGAGCAGCAAGCTAAACTTTAACTCCGTTACGTTGATGATATAGTGAGAACGGTGAAGGGTGATCCTGAAGAGGTCCTGCGACACCAAACTTACTACATCCAAAATTACAGTTCACAATAGAGAGCTCGAACACATCTGGAAAGCTGGAACTTTTGGATTTTCAAACTAAAATTGACAAAAACAGGAAAATTAACTAGGTATGGTACGACAAACCAACAGATACAGGTACCATACTAAAATTTAGAAGTTGCGCCCCCTTCAGTACTAAGAAAAAGTGAGCGAAGGAAATGTTCACCGTGCTTTCCGCAGTACGTCACATGGGAAAATTTTGGTAAAGCGATGGAAATCAACCGTAAACAGTGGTTGGATTACCATAACCCAGAGAGTTGGTCGTCGGGTGTTGCATCGCATGCTCTTGAAAAGATCATCGGGGAGGGTAGAAAAAGGAAGATGGCTGAGAAAAGTAAGCCTGTAATTATAGTAGCAATTCACCACCCAGCTTGATGGTCCAATATAGGGGGAATAACAGTCAGACATTGGCAAAAATAGCGGGATATCACCAATGCGCTAATATTTTCACGACGAGGAAAATGAAAACTTGTAAGACTCTTTAAAATCCTCTTTTCCCAGTGAACTGAAATCAAAAGTGGTATACAGACTAGAACGCTATGGGTGCAAATCCATCTATGCTGTCCAGACGGTCTGATATCTCACCACAAGAATTGAGGAACAACGAAAAGAGGATACTCCAGTTGGACTGCATTTGCGGCAGTGTAGTAGTGATCGTGGTGAATCAGAGTTTAATTCGAAAACAATCAACCAGGCCGCCAGCTGCATTAGAAGCGCTGCATATAAGAAAAAGAAAATCGAGGCCGGCAATTAGTACGAGCGACGAGTTTAGAAGCGCCATTACCCCACATGGCACAGCAAAATTCCGTCACACTCATAAAACAATGATAAAGGGCTGATTGGCAAACTCGTAACAAAAAAGGAGGTGGAAATATTCTGAAAGTTATTTTTTCAAAATTTCGATTGGAGCCAAAACGTTTCACAGAAATACAAAAAGACTTCCATTTTTATTGACAATGTGTCATACAAACAATATCCGAATTACGCCTAAAAACGGTGGTGTGACAAAAAACAGAAGAGGATTTTGTTATACTTGAAACAGTACAGACATAGTTAAAGCCTCCGGAATGCAATTGGATGCCCGGTGCCCAGAGAAAACTTTACTAACATTGGTTACCTTTTAGCTGCTGTAATGCCCTGAATGTAATTAATCCAGCTCAATATCTAGCAATTTTTTCAGAGCATAAGTAGTTAGGAGCAAGGAAAGGGTCAACCTATCTGTAATGGATCTAATATATAACTGTCACTAGAAATTTCTATAATCATGGTTTTTAGCCCTGTTTTTAGTAATAATCACGTCGTCTGGTGATCCGAGACCCATCAATGAGGTAATTTCTGCATTTAAACGTAAGCTGATTAAAATTCGTTTAGCTGATGGTCTAAAAGCGGTAAAATAATGGTTAACACTTAAACAGACCGAAAATTAATTGGCTAGTTCGAAAAGATGAAAAACGAATAGAATTAAGCTAACTGACGTCAATAAGGACTTTTTCTATTCTCCATCGCTGTGTAATTTCTGGGCGTATGTTACAAGAAGTAGCGAGCTGAAACGTGCATATGCTTGCAGAAATATCGAACAAGCATCTGAAGAATAGCGGCATGTGATTTCGTCATTTGGGTTAAATATCTCTGAAGAGATCTGCAGAAGATATACTGGTGTTCAACAATTAAGTCGGAGTTACGTTGCAAGTTCCACAAAAATTCTTGCACCCAGTCGGAAACATTCAAGCTTTGGAAAAATGTTGCCGAAAAAGCACCGACTGAGTATGGTAAGCGATTTCAACACGCCTTCCGACCCGTCGTTCTAGATGCTAGTTTGCTCCGATCACAAGAATGCCGGCGACGACCTAACTCCAGATAAAACCAGACAAGCCATTGATTTCATCCGTGAAACGGCTGGTGAAGATATCATGCCGGAGCTCACGAATTACTTGGCAAAAGTTCCTCCCTGTAACAAATACCTTTTGCTGAGTGTTACAAAAAGTCGAGAGTGAAACTTGGCGGAGGAGTCGACTTCGATTGGGAACTTCGAAAGAATTGGTCGACTCTGCATCGAGACTGGCCAATGCTATCTCATTCAGTGCTGGGTTGGAGCGGTGTTTTTCAAATCTCGGACTCACCTCTGGAAAACTCCGAACTTCTTTGGGCATTAAGAAGACTGGAAAACTGTTGCTTTTTCTCTTTAATGAACTCAATGAATGACTTTAAAAGTAAATTTTCTTTTTAACGCGTTTTTTTTCATATAATTATTGTACAGTTTAGAACTATAATCAGCTGTACCTAACCTATTTGCCTTTCACATTAAGATATTTTTTACCTTCTAGGTTTTTCAGTTTGAAGGGAAGGGAGTTGAGCAGTTCATTCAAAAAGGAGGGATTTTCTCTCATTTCAATGGAACGGAAAGAAAAAACCCGCTTAATTGCTTCTTAGGGACTTCGAGCGGATAGAAAGAGATCCATTCGCTGAGATAAAATTAAAAAATAAAATAGCTCGAGAAACAAAAAAACGAGAAAAAGTAATAAAGATTTTACCAAGTAATTAGAAAAAGTATTTAGAATCTTTGATAAAACTTTGAGTTTGAGAACACTAAGGAATATTTGATCCCAATTGAATGACAATGCAAAATACGTGACCTACCCCAAAAAAATATCTATTCAATGAAATACGACATGGCGTTGAGAGCTATTTTTTGCTCTGATTTTTTATTCATTTCATTGAAAAACTAGCGTGTAACGCACCTCCGGTGCTTCGAATTTTTAATAACTCATAAAAAACCGTAAATATTGCAAAAAAATCAGCATTCTTTGACCGAAATACAGGGTTGGTAAGTTCAAATTTTGAAAAAATTTCTTTTCAAGTTTTTTCAATTCAAAATTTAAAAGCCATTAAATTTTTTATATCTAAGTTCTTCGAAAAACTTTAAAATCTTTGAAAAAAAAAGAAACATCACATCTCGGAATCTTAAACTAATTGGTCTTAAACTAATTGGGCAGTCGCATTTGGACGCAAGATTTGCTCTTACAGTACCCAAGCAGCCAACATTGAAGGCAAGATCTCTGGCAATCCCTGAGAGTGATCTGACAGCCCCCAACTAGAGGGGGTTAGGAACTTCAAAATTTGAAGAAAAAAAAATAAATTTAAGTTTTCTGAAAATTTTTCGAAACAATAACAAAAAACGTCATATCTGGAAAACTACAGAGACTAAAGCAGTCACAGTTGGAGGCAAGATTCACAACACCTGAGATCACTCTGACAGCCCCAAACTAAACGGTTGGGAAATTCAAATTTAGAAGAAATAAAATTGGAGGCAAGATCTCTGGCAATCCCTGAGAGTGATCTGACAGCCCCCAACTAGAGGGGGTTAGGAACTTCAAAATTTGAAGAAAAAAAAATAAATTTAAGTTTTCTGAAAATTTTTCGAAACAATAACAAAAAACGTCATATCTGGAAAACTACAGAGACTAAAGCAGTCACAGTTGGAGGCAAGATTCACAACACCTGAGATCACTCTGACAGCCCCAAACTAAACGGTTGGGAAATTCAAATTTAGAAGAAATAAAATTGGAGGCAAGATCTCTGGCAATCCCTGAGAGTGATCTGACAGCCCCCAACTAGAGGGGGTTAGGAACTTCAAAATTTGAAGAAAAAAAATGTAAGTTTTCTGAAAATTTTTCGAAACAATAACAAAAAACGTCATATCTGGAAAACTACAGAGACTAAAGCAGTCACAGTTGGAGGCAAGATTCACAACACCTGAGATCACTCTGACAGCCCCAAACTAAACGGTTGGGAAATTCAAATTTAGAAGAAATAAAATTGGAGGCAAGATCTCTGGCAATCCCTGAGAGTGATCTGACAGCCCCCAACTAGAGGGGGTTAGGAACTTCAAAATTTGAAAAAAATATATATTTAAGTTTTCTGAAAATTTTTCGAAACAATAACAAAAAACGTCATATCTGGAAAACTACAGAGACTAAAGCAGTCACAGTTGGAGG